AATTTCCAAAAGTAGGCAGTCACCTTAAGTCAGTCTTCCAATCTAGAACGTAGAAAAATATATATCAGGAAGACCTTGTTAATATTAGCTGTTTCTTTATCTTTACCTTTCTAGATATTCTTGTGGTCAACGCTGTTCTCTTTGCAACACTTTTCGTAATCGAAAGTATCAACTAGCACATGGTCATTAACAGGAGTACTTCATTAATTTGTAATTCATGAGCGAAAACGTTTATTAAAGACGAAAAGAGACTTTTTTAATTGGAGTGTTTTAATTTATATTCATTTCATGTCAATAATTGATTAAATTTACAAACGAGTCTTCTTCGCCAGTCCGTGTATACTGCAGAGAAGACTATTAGCCATCCCAGTTATTTAAATCATGAGATACTTAGATGGTAGAAGTTATAGGAAAAGAATGCATTATGTCCAAAATGATGCACGGCCGAGTGTGTTACATGAAAACATGAACACGAGGCATCCAGGGCCAAATTTAAAGAAGTTATATGGTTTCAATGCAAAGTATACACTTGCTCACTTGTTCTGTCTTTCTTTTCTTCTTACATTCAGGATAGCGACAATTTTGCAGCATCAAATTATAAGAAAATACTGTAAATTTGTAAGTTTGGCCCTGGATGCCTCGTTTTTAACCGGCCGTGCGCCATTTTGGATTTAGGTGTATTCACAGAGGTATTCCACGTTGCTTAAATGCTGTTTTTGTTTTCATGGAAAGACTTTAGTTGCTTGTTTTCTTTTGATTAACCGGGTCTTCTTTCTATATGAAAGAAATATGAAGATATTATGAAAAGTAAGCACAATTACAAAATGTGGTTGTCAAGGTCAACCACTACATTCTCTCTACATACAACATTCAACTCACATGTTTATTTTTACGGAGGAAGGGAGACCGAAGAACGTGAACAAAAACCCTCGTGACAAAGGAAGAGAAGAACACATCAACCAAACTCAACTCAAATGCGATCCAGTTCGTGCCGGGCCTCGAACCTGGACCACGGCGGTGAGAGGCGAGAGGGAAACCAGTACGCCACCCATGCCACCCTTAAAGGTACCATCACACTAGAGATCGCGAGGCACTCCCCATTTATGGACGTGCGTCTAGGGAGGTGGTTGCAGGGACATTACCCCCTTTTGTAAATCCAAGGACATTATTTAAGTACGATCTAAGCCACGATCTAAATTAACTTATACGATTAAACACTAGAATTGAATTTCGCCTTGTTAAATCTTATATCCTACAATAAACTGACTAAAATRATAATTTGTTTTTAAAATATTTGCTTATTTGTATCCAAGAAGGATGACGTTGTCGTTGGTCCTTGGTCAGGTGAAAGAATCCTATTCAACTACAATGAGTTGCGCCTCTATGTTATTGTTTTCTTCGTTCTCGAATTGCTTCAATGCRCTGGTGGAGCAAAATTTCTTCAAATTTGCTATAACAAGGTCCTCAAATTTTCAAAGTTTCTTTCCTTTCATTTCACAGCAAGCAAGTTGAATTTTTCAGAGAGATTCTCTTTAATTAAGACATTATGACTTTTCGGTCGTCCAACTATTAGACATCGCACCCTTGGAAATCTACCTTACATTTGTTGCCAAAATTTTAAAAATCTCATGGAAAACATAAAATGCATGACCACGTATCATTATCTTATGATTAAACTGGATTACAAAACCATTTTTTTGCCTAGCAGAGAAAATGGCCGATTGTTTTGATTCCGGCGCGCAGTGCATTGAAGTTGAATTGGATTCTTTAATGATGACGACGTTTTTTAAGTCCTATGCCAGATCAGCCTGTCAAACAAAATTATAAGTATGCGTAGAATACCGTTCCATCAAATTATCTGAAATTATCATAACTACTGCTTTCCTACAAAAAAGAAGAGGAGAACGAACGACGAGGATGGGATTCGAACCCACGCGGGCAGAGCCCATTGGATTAGCAGTCCAACGCCTTAACCACTCGGCCACCTCGTCTATATGATGTTTTCTGTTATCTACTGTAAAAACAGTTCACCAAAGGGGATTGATTTGGATGAAGTAGCATAGCAGAAGTAGATCGAAGAGATCTAGAGCGTGCAGTGAAAGTTGTTACAAAGTTTGAAATGTCTACTGAGTTCATACTGACTGAAATTCACATTTATATAAGAAAAGTAAATCCTTGATTTCAAGCCAGCAAGAAAGAGGAAGTAAGTTGAGACGCTTTAAAATGACGCTGTAAAAAGAGCCAAAATCTTGAAGCATGAACTTGGTGGATTGTCTCGGACACTCTCTAAGCAAATCTGAGAACTTCAAACAACAGGATCTTGAGGGCGTCGTTATGTCGCGCAAGGTATAGCATGTGTAAGAAACTTTCGTTATTTTATTATTATTATTATTATTATTATAAAGTCTACTCAGTACGATATTTTGTGTCAAAGTCATTCACCCTTACTTCAAGAGACGCTTAAAAGAACTCGAATTGGTGAGATGAATGGCTTTGACACAAAATATCGTACTGAGTAGACTTTGTTTACTAATGAGGCCTTATTGACCTTGCTTCCATTCAATTGTCCCTAGTCCCAACCGCGTTTGGCGGCCATTTTTGAAAGTCGTGTACACTGAAAAAGTATTATATCTTTAAGGGATCAGAAGGTCTGCAGTAAAGTCGAAACTAGTTTTCTAAAAGATTCTTGATTTTTATACTTATGTACGGCCTTATACAACGCTAGAAGACATGTGTAGCCTGTACGGCGTGAATTCCCTTGAATTCCGTYGTACTATTTTAATAATTTCTGTTGCAGGAACAAATTTTTTCATTAATTCGAATTTTGAACTTGTGCGTCATGAAATTAAGTGCGTAATTAATCGTGAATAAAGGGTATTCGTGGCCTTCATTGAATATTGAACCGAGTTACGGCTGGTTCTTCAGTATTTTCGAAAATCCCCCTTCCACCTTAAACTCAGAATCAGCTTCCAAATTGATCCTTTTTTCCGCTAAACTCAATTGCGTTGGGGCTTTGTATTGTAAGAAAACATTCATTTGGCTCTTGATTTTAATAGTTCCATGCAAATTAGACCTTCGGCTTCTATCTTAATTAACAAAAACAGGCTTCAGTTAAGATATTCTATGCAGTTTACAATTACTTAAGCAAGGATATCTATCTTTGAGTCCATGATAACTTAACTGACAAATTCGTTTATCATTTATTTATTGTTTGGAAAGAGAAACAGTGTTCATTGGTATTTACTATATCGATACAGTCTTGAAAGTCTAAGATACTATATGCCAAATATGACCGCCTTCAGAACATCCTTTAGCTTCATAATAACCCCCAGATTCCCTATGAAATATTTGTGAGCCAGGAGCGTACCATTTGCCCTCGTAATAGCAACCCAATCGACGTGGAGGGGTTGGTGGATAGGTTGGGGAGGGTACGACTGGCTTGAATGGCTTTCCTTGGGTAGCAGAGACGAACAGCAAAGCTACCAGGACTAGAATGAAGCGATTCATGTTTGGGCTGGAAAATGAAACCATGCAGACAGTTGAGTTAGAAGGTATATTTTTATGTTTTTAACACGCAACAGCACAARACGGCAGCACGACACACCCCCAAAACAACACAACAAAAGCTAACAAATACCAGCACAGCACGACACGCACGACCATAGCAGTACAACACAACTCAGTAGTACAATACAGCACAGGACAACACCGAAAACACAGCATAACACAACACACCAAAGAACACAGTAACTCAAAAACCAACACAACAAAACAACACGAAAAACCAACAAAAAAACAACACAGAACAGCACAAAACGACAGTAAAACAAATGATCACAACACAAGAAGTGTGTATTCGTTCAAAACACAAAGATTAAAGGTTCTGCACGAGCACAAATTAGTTCTGACTTTCTCATGGATCAGTTCCCGACATCAAAGTTTCACAAAGCTGAGCTCGAGAAACATTTAGCCAAAACTTATCGAGTAACAACGTTTGCACAAGCTTCTTCTAACAAAGTTACTTAATCATAAATCTACGAAAAATCTTTACCTGTTTTTGCCAAGTTTCTAGTTCACTTGTCTTAGAATAGTACTACAGTTAGCTGTACGACGGTCGTTTTGGAAGTGTTTGAAAATCCAATTAGTAGGTGGTATTTAAGGCTTATTATGATTTCCTGAGCAAATTGSTAATTAGCGTTAATTAGTATGTTATTAATAATTTTATTAGTAATTATTAGTTGTCAACAACTAGTGAAACTTATCGACCACACGGACGGACACTGAACCTGGGAATATGTGAACGGCTTTGAAAGTGATATTATGTTTTTCTTTGCTTAAAATTCATTAGTTTCAAAAATGAATATCTTCGTCAGTGCAAGGGCAATCTTTACAACAAAAAAGTTTGACTTTTTACAAAAAAAAAAGTTGGGAAAACTATCTGTCCTAAATGCTGCGTCGCTAACGATATCATCAATCCACCATCGTATTGTTTTTAAATTATTGCTCAATGTTATAATGAATATGTATTTCCTATTATCATTGTTTTTTTTCCTGGGAAGTGTAATATCTTATCAACTATTTCTTAATTATTCATAATTATATATCTATATCTATACCTATGATATGGTTAGTCTACAATTATCACGAAAAATATTGCTTTATATGCTTTTCATATATATCTGGTCATACTTAATTTGGAGCCTAGGTGTGTCGTGCCACGACAGATTATTTATTATTTTCACCTCTATACACGCTTTGCAAAACGAAAATGTAAACGAGGAGCCTGGAAACGAGTTTGCACGAAAGCGAGGTCGGTCAGCCCTCGTTTGTTTACAGCAAAAGCTCGAAGCACTGTGTTCTTGTAATATTTCGCCAGCATTTTTGCTTAGTTTTGTGTGGTTTTCAATGCCTTCGCACTGCTGTGTGCCTGAGTGCACTTTCAAGGGCCACCGGGATGCAGAAGGAAATAAAATTTCTTTCTTTAACTTTCCAAAGGATGCAATTTTACGTAAGAAATGGATTCACTTGATACGAAGAGTCCCAGAAAAGGATTTTCAACTGACTAGTCGCACTAAAGTCTGTTCAAGACATTTTAAAGCCACGGACATGAAGAAATCGCTTAATGGAATTGTTAAACTAAAGCCAGGAAGCATTCCATCAAAATTTGCGTGGTCTGTTCAGTCTCCACGAAAGAGAAAGTCGCCAACTAATCGTCAAACACCTCCACATCCCTCAACAGCCATCGAACCAGATCTAGAAGCTTCGACTAGMGAGTCTGTGGATCATATTTGTGAGCCCACAGTAGAAGAATTGCTTATTGAAGCCAAAATAGACAAAGAAAAATTAGAAAAGCAATTATCGRACATCCAAAGTCAGTTTATCGAACTTCAAATCGAAAATCGCCGACTGCTAGAAACCAACAAGAAGATAATGGCTGAACTCCAGTCAGAGCGTGGTGATGCTCTGGAGACTGTGTTTTACCGTGAAGCTGAGAAAGAGGAACTGGAAAAGAAATGCCAGCTGCTCGAGAACAAGTTAAGTGATGCAGAAACCAAGCTTTTTAAGCTAGAGAATTTCAAGTCAGATGAAAACATAGCTTTTTATACAGGTTTACCTAACTATAAGACATTCTTGGCAATATTTAAGTTTTTGAGCACTGGAGACAAAGGGGAAAATGTGAGGTATTACTCAACTAAGAACAAGGATGCTACTGCTGACTTCTATGAAAACCAGGAAGATGAAGAGGAGGATGAGTTATCTGAAAACACTACGAAAACAAAATCTGGCAGACCAAGAAAACTGACAGTCATTGATGAATTTTTCCTTGCACTATGTAGACTGAGAAGGGGATTTGCTGAACTGCATTTAGCTCACCTTTTTGGAGTCTCCCAGTCAACAGTCAGTAGATTGTTTGGAACATATATAAATTATATGTATTTAAAGTTTGCACAAATTAATATTTGGCCATCCAGGGAAATTGTAAATAAACAAATGCCAGAAATCTTTAAGGAGAAGTACCCTAAGACAAGGGTCATCATTGACTGTACTGAAATCCGTTGTCAAATGCCAAGTGGACTGCTGCTTAACTCTGAACTATTTAGTTCTTACAAGAATCATGTTACCTTCAAAGCTCTGATTGGTATTGCGCCAAATGGTGCCATCACGTTCATCAGTCAACTTTACACAGGAAGCATATCAGATCGAGAGATTGTTACAAGAAGTGGGCTTTTGGATTTAAAGTTTGATGATGGAGATTCAGTGATGGCAGATAAGGGTTTCACTATTGGTGATATTCTTCCCTTAGGAGTGACCATTAACTACCCCCCATTTCTTGGAGAAGAGGCTCAAATGTCAAAGGAAGATGTAATTGAAACCCAGCAAATTGCTAGTGTGCGCATCCATATAGAGAGGGCAATTAACTTGATCAAGAACTACCACATTTGGGATGGCGAAGTACCACTGAGTTTAATAGGACTGGTTAATCAAATGTGGACTGTGTGTGCATTCCTGTGTAATGCCCATAATCCTCTTATTTCAGTCTAGTAGACTGTGTTTCATAATCAAGAAAGAGTAGGGTATAGTTTATACATCAAATTTCCAATGTAGACATATGTGCCAAATGCATCACAAACTGATGATAGGTTGTCTTCTTTGGTGGTAATTACACTTGATATATGTTGAATTTGATGTATAAACTACTGTAGGCCTAAAGTGTAATAGCATTGATTATAATACAAAAATATTTTAGCCAATAGTGTCAGTCACAATATGTGTGAAATAGATATCACTTTAAATGTACTGATCTGGTAGGTAATCAACACAAAATCATGAGATAACTATTCACTTTTGCCAATGACACCAGTGAGTGTACCAATGTCAAGTAAACTAGTCTTTCATTTTATTTAGCTAAATAGAAATGATGACGATAATAACTACTAATTGTGATACTTTATTAAAGTCCAGATGCAAAAAGAAACAAACAAATTACTATNTTTTTTTCTTCTTAATATTCAGAAAGTCGTATTCTTTAAAAAAAGAATTATTTGCCAAAGATATAATTTATCCATCAGCTCCTATCCCATTCCCCCTGGAAAATAACTCGATCACATTTCAAGATCATCAATAAGCCCGAAGCGAGATGACGTTTTACCCCCGACTCTATACCATAATAGTTTTTAAAATTCTTTCATATTAAAATTTTTGATTCGTTAGCGAATACAGGAATAATAGTCGTAATTAAARAACAAAAGCAAGGAAAAAGGTGAAAAGGATTATGGTCTAGAGACGGGGGTAAAACGTCATCTCGCTTCAGGCTTATTTACCATACTCACAATAGCTGTAAAAATCGCAATACTTGCTATCATTTACTGTATATTTCATAAACATGCGAACTCTGTGTCTGCGAGCTGTACGCTGAAATTTGGTTTTATATTTTCGCTGCCGCCAGTCAAGAATATGAAAGGTAACCGACTGATTAGGTTCCGATTGACGGCATTCATCTTGTAATCCAAGAAACTTTTACTTGAATTATCAATTGTTTTATGAACAAGAAGTTCACACTTGATTTTGACATCAAAAAGTTGTTCCTTTTTTTTCATTATCAATATTTTCACTAAAGCTGGATTTTAAATTACTTATCGTTAGAAATTCACTGCTGTTTCTATGGGGAAAACGGTATAGAAGTGGAATGTAGTGAATTAGAAAAATTGTTATTATGTTAGAACAGGTCAATATCAGTTGGATGTCATGACTTGGATTTCAATAATTTTAGGTAAATTCAATTATATCGTTTCATCGTGTGTTATTGGAATGAATGAACATTTTGATTCCCTTGGGTGAGATTTACTGGACTGCAAACAAACTTTCTACAACCTGTTTCGAGAGATCGTAATAAAACTACATTTCGTAACACACTGGATACACATCTTTTCATTCGGTTCTTTACGAGTAGCTAAAAAGAATCACAAATTTAATATAAAAACAAAAATTTTCTTCTCCAGTACAGAAACGTGACCGTTAACTGCAAAGGGCCTATTCGATACTATCGTATTAGTAAATCCACACTAATGCTAATTCAATAATATACGTAACAAAATCCTCCTTTAAACTAAGAAATTATGCCAACACCATAAATGGAAAAAGAGAAACTACAAAATGCGATTTTCTCATACGAACCCTAATAAAAAATTGAAATAATATTTCAAAAGCGACAATGAGGACTGGAYGGGATTTCAAGTCCAAGCTATTAGTTCCAGTCCGAGACCGGAGCCTCGGACTGGAACTAATAGCTTGGACTTGAAATCCCGTCCAGTCCTATATTGGAGGCTTTGAAATGACTTCTCATGCTCATCAATAATTCGACTTGTAGTAGCTACTGCAGACTGAATTCCGTCCTTTCACAGGACTTTACCAAGTTTCAAGTAACATCATGTGACCCAAAAATAGCCCATTGATTGGCCGGTTTACTCATGAATTATTAATGAGAATGAGAAAAAACTTTAACGTCATGACCAAAAATCGTACAGCCAAACACTGGTCAAACAAATTCCTATCCTCCCAAGATATAGTCTAAACAACTTCATTCCCGACTTTCATGCCATTGCTCAAGCGTTATCTGTATTGGTATTGATTTGGTCGTTTGAAAGTCAGTTTTGAAATTTGTTTGTACAATTGGACTCGAATTAAAGTTCGAGGTATTAAAAACAATAATAAGAATGTTTTGAGTACGCCTGCTTGCTAACGGTCTGGATGGGGGTCTAGATGATAGTTGTCAGATACAATTTCGCTTAATTTTTTGTCAGTTGTCAACTAAATATCAGGCTTTTCGTGAGTTGTCAGTTAAATTTCATGACATTTGTCGGTTGTCAGTAAACCCCATATATCCAGACCCTCTTGAAAGAAAACAGTATCATATTGGTGATATCCGGTACTCACTTGAAAATCCATTGTATAAATATCTTAATGCCCGCTCCGTCCATTTATTGTTAGTTTTYCTATTATATCGCTGTCTGCTTTAGGACAGTTGTTCCAAACCGAACTACCATAAGTAAAGTTAGCCATGGTGAAAGATTTGTATATGCGGATCTTGGATGAAGCGGGGTTTCCATGGAACCTGTAGAAGAACCCCTTGATCAGTTTCGCCATCTTGGAGCACACAGTTTCTCAATGGAGTATTGAAATACGTCTCTCTAATGCTAGCGGTTTAAATGTTGTGTTGTTGTGTTTTACTTTCGTTATTAGTTCCTGTTTCGTATGGAATACTCATCACCTGAATCACAAGTTTTCAATAGAATTCTTTCTGGTTGACAGCGCATGGTGGTCAGTGTTTGACCACCTTTTGGAGCAGATAATTATGGCGCTTTTTCGGGTTTCGGGATATATTAAATTTGATAAAGAACTACATAAATAAATATACTACAAGGTKTAAGTTCGCTCCTCCTAGTCTCTTGTCACATGATCAGGCTCAGAGTTGACCAGGAACGCCTGGCTCAAAAATGTTTCAAAAGTAATTTGTGTTTGCAAGTAATGCGATCACTGTTCGCAAGTATTGAATGAAAGCCAAAGCGGAAGTCGCTATGTGAAGAATTAATTGAAAAGGATCGTCGTATTAGACGTAAGCGAGGTGTTAGCTTCGATAGTATTAAATGGGCACAAACCGGATTCGTTTTGTTAAAGTCATTAGTGAAAGGAAGGTCTTTGATAAATAATGCTGCAAAGAGCAGTGTTTTCAAAGTAGCGATGCCGAAAGACGTGTTTCAAAAGTAATCCGTGTTTCTGCAAGTAATACATGGTGGTGAAAGATATGAATTCAAAAAGGATTTACACAAGAACAGTTTCAAAAGTCAGTTGTCTTCTAGGTTACATGTTTTCAAAGGTAATTTGAGTGAAACAAACATGTTTTTGTAAGTAATAAGCGGTAAAAAGATATGAATTCAAAAGTAATTGGCACAAGCTACACATATCTAATTTTGAACTCGAAAACGCGCCATAGATAATGAGATTTAAAGACTTTTATCATCTCATTGAAACCCTGCTATAATAGTATTCTTTTAGCCTGCGTGCGCATGCAGCCGGACTTTTAGTAAGTTCGGCTGCACGCAGGCTATATTCTTTATAAGAGGGAGGGTTTTTGGATGGCTCAATTATAAACTATTCAACGTTTTGGCCTCAATGGACGTAAGGGATTTTATTCTCAAGATATAGTTAATTTTAATTTATTTATTTCCTTTCTTTTTATTGATGTATTCTTTGCACATAAAGGTGCCAAGACGATCGAACGTGCTCTTCAAGATGATCTCAATACTCTGAATTATAACTGATTTAATGAGCACTTTTTTGGTTAGTTAACTGCTCGAAGAGTAACTATTTGGAACAAGTGAGCGGCTGTCAAGAATGAACATATCCAAATCAAGAATTCAGTTAAATATCTGGGCTTTACTTTTCATTCTAAAATGTCTTGGCTTAAACCATAGTTAATAGAGGGGAGTGGTTAGGAAACCTAATGTTATCAGGTCTTTGTTCGCTTTTGAGGTTGAACCGGTCTTGACCATGCACAATGTTCAGTGATTTATGCTCATCCGAAATTGCAAAGTAAGTAGACATAAACTTTGCCCATGGGATTGTTGTAAGGAATATTCAAGCATCTCTTATAAATTTTTAAATATTTGAACTATCAGCCAAAAAAGATTTTGGTCTGTTCACTCAGCCATTGCCAACRATGATAAAACATTGGTAAACAAAGGATTGTGCACGGTCACGCTTGAAAAAAGTGAACAAAGACCTATAACAATATATAATAGGGTTTCCTAATCATTCCCCTCTATAAACTATGGGACGATTGGAGGTGAGACTTCGTCTGTCGTTCCTTTATCCCTTGTTGCCTTTCTCATTGCTAATTACCCTAACTTAGTGTACATGTTCCCTTTTATTTTCATTCGTATTTTTATAGGTCTCAATTTTAACTATATATTTCTATTGCTATCATATATCTAACATTAGAGTGCAAACAATAGAGTGTAAGCAACTAATCCGTGAAACAGTAGAAGATAATATAGGTAAGTTGTAGTGCTTGGGAACGAGGTTAWTCCGGGCGAAAGCCCTTGGATTAACCTCGTTCCCAAGCACTACAACTTACCTATATTATCTTCTACTATTTCATTAGTGCCACGCGGTCCACATACTCTAATCCGTGAAACACTAATTACTATTTATTACGAAACAGTGCTAATTAAACCATAGAAAACGATGGAATTTGCATGAAATTGTGCTATTTAGTATTAGTAATGATAAAAAAGTAAATTATACACCGTGAAAAGATGAAAAAACTTTCTGATGTTTCGGACGCTAGTCCTTCGTCGGAGTAAAAGAGAAACTGAGGTGGTAGAAAGGATATGATAGAATAAGACAAAAGAAACCAATGAGAGCAAGGTAGGCAAGGAAACGAAAACAAACAATCAAAAGACAAAAGAAAAGGTTAGTTTAAAGCAAAGCGTTCATTAATCCCGTTGGGACTAAGAGTGCCCAATAGGTGAATAAGCTGCATTTCTTCCGTCTTTATCAATGTTGCCGTTAATCAAAAAAAGACCGGAAAAAAATGAAGTTAGAAAGAGAATGGTTAGCTATATTCAGTAGATTGAAGTGGCGGGAAACTGGGAAACTGGTTTGGTGCGTATGGCAAGCCAAACAGGACAAAAGTATGGTGAGATCAAAATYACATGTTGAGAATAATGCATCACTGTACGAGAATAAAAAATTGCTATGCGAGAACTGAAATCATCATATGATATGATATTCTCGTACAGTGATGCATTATTCTCAACATGTGATTTTGATCTCACCATACTTTTGTCCTGTTTGGCTTGCCATAGGTGGGATCGTTATTGCGAATATTATAAAGATGATTGCAAATACGATCACCAAGACGTCTAATGTTTCACATAGTTAATTTATATTGTTTGCACTCTATATCCGTGAAACACTAATTACTAAATTGCTCAAAAAAATTCTAGTTAAACAAAAGAAAAACAATAGAATTAGCATAAAATTGTGTTTTATTTATATTTCACGGATATATTGTTTGCACTCTATTTCGACAATTAATTACTACGTCACTCAATCAGAGTATTTAAAACAAAGCACTGCATTTGTCAGCTTCATTAGCTGGTTGAAGAGCAGAGAGCAACGAATCACTTGGAAAGAAATCTTTATTTCAGGTAATAATATATTTACTGAAGAACTCATATTTAAGACACTATTTCTTAATCTATCCTGTTTTCTTATGGTGCATACTAAATATTTTAATGGCTTTTTAACAAACTTTCTGAAGTTGAATTGATTTGAAATTCACGCTACACTGCATTAGTCTTGGATGGAAGTTTATGATGAAGTATACACTTTTATTATGTAATTACCAATGAAATATCTATTTTTCTCTATTTCGAAAAATTGATATCTTCACACGTGAAAATAACATGTTATTTTCACGTGTGAAAATAACACCATTGCGATGGCTATTCGAAAATACACGGAAAGAATTGCCTGAAAAAGTCAAAACATACTTTCATTTATAATTATATAATTATCGCTGCGCTCACTTGTGAGAGATTTTTCAACACTCGAAGATAAATTTCGTATCTCCGCGCGCCCATGTAATATCCTCTATTTATTATATAGATATCGATGAAATACCAGGTTTTCTCTAGTGTCGAAAACTTGATATCTTTCACCAGTGGAAGATACCATATCTTTCACACGTGAAGATATCGCTGTTGACATAGTAACGTATTCTAAWAAAGAATTTTTGAGCTTTTGTTTTATTTAAGTTTCATCGATATCTATATAATAAACATGAAGATATAGAAATATAGATAACGAGGGAACGAGGGAACGAGGTTATTCCGGGCGAAAGCATCGGTAGTACAATTCCGAAGGTCGTGGGTTCGAATCCCAGCGAGGTCGGAAATTAATTTTTCCGAATTTAATTCCAAGGGCTTTCGCCCGG